CTTTGGGGGCATATTAGTAAGAGACGTTAACAGATCTGGTCGATAATTCAAGGGCAAGTCGGATTTGATTGATGCAATCAAGATGTTTTGGAACAATATTGATGCAGCATTCTACGAACTCTATCTGGGCACATGAATACGAGATAGTTTTAAATGTAATAAAAAACAAAGGTGTTCAAGGTGTTACTAACGTAATAATTGTACCGACTTTATACTTTTTTCCAACTTACTAGTGTTGAAATCTTATGACAAATAAAGTAATGTGTAATGTATTTTGCCATTAATTTCATTTTGCTTTTATTGAGTCATAATCTATGACTATATTACAAAATAAAACCATATAAGTTCTTTCATCGTTCGTTTCATCCTTTAATTCGGTAACTTCATACTTTTTTCCAGCACTGTATGAACAATCAAGAACAATTTTCCCAATAGCATAAGATGTTAACTCCATAATTCATCGGAATATATTATCAAGAGAATTTATTTTCTTAACAGTATAAAATGTAATTCTTTAATTCCACAGTTTGCCCAATCGAAAAGAGCACAAAACATCAAATCTGTTATTCAACATTATAAAGAGTCGAAACCATTTGTTTACTGATGTTTGACTTCATAATGCTTCTGAATAAACACTCATGAGAATTTATTTATTTTTCTAATAGCATACAGCGTAATTCTTAGATTCAATAGTTAGCACAGTAGAGAATAATACGATAAAATCTATTATTCAACATATATGCAAAATCGATAGAACTTTCCTAACAGCATAAGACGTAATTCCATAATTCACCAGCATTTGAAATCAAAATTTTTTTCAAATCAAAATTAGTGTAAAATGTCATTTTAAAAATTCATCAGCACGCAATTGTGAGCATTTTCAATAGTATAAAATATTAACTCAATATTTTAACAAATTGCACAAATAAAAACATTTTTCGGATAGAATAAGACGACACTTCTAAAATTCTGAGGGTCCCAAGATTCGAGAGCTTTCTCTTAATAGTATAAGATATATATTTGATCGATAGCTAAACCGCATTCATATTCGATAACAAATTTCTTAATAGTGTAAGACGTCAATTCTATAATTCAATAATCTGCACAATCGGGAACATTATCCTAATGACGAAAGGTGTTGCATTCCATTATGCAACAGCATGCACAATCAAGAACATTTTCTGACTAGTGCATAGGAGGTTTAAATCCACAATTTAAAATTATTCATTTCGTAATGACAAAAAAGTATAGAATAAAACGTCCATAAACTTTAAACATTGCCAAATATTCTTTTTTTTTCAACATTATATTCATGATATATTCCACAATTTGCTGCTGTGACTAATGCCGCTTACCAATATCAGAAAGCCTGTTATGGGAATCCAAGCAAATTTTAAAGGCAGAGATTGCGTTTATTTGCTTTTAAGTGGCACCATCTATGTCCAAGAATACGACTTCAATCTCACACACGTCACGACCCGTTATACAAGAAGGACCCATTCACTGATCCACAGATAGTAATTTTGACTTGAACCAGAGAATGATCTATCTCCAATTCAGTACCCCCAGATGTATTGATTTGTTATGGTAACATGGAGGAACCAGTCACCATTTAATACACGGTGATTCCGCGGACGGCGGATTTCGAGCTCACGCTACCCGAACACGAGCCCAACGTCCTACCTACTTGGCTATTCAGGCTATTCCACAATTCAAAATGATGGTTTTAGTAATGATTACAAATGTAAAGAACAAAACGTCTTAAAACTTTGACGTCTTTTCATTCAATAAAATTTTTATCGTAACTGATTAAAAATTAAGAAGCATCGGCATCACTAATGTAAATTTAAATAGCCGAGATTGCTAGTGAAAGAACTCTCGCTTTGCAAAGATCAACCCAGGTTCAAATCCCAATGCTGACTGGTTGACTCGCATTTTTTTCCCTATTAGCACCAATCACACAGCTAAACTAAAGTATCTGTATTGGTAGACGAATCTTAATGGTTTGAGTCCCGTTGACGCATTTTGCAATTATTCCATAACCTGGAAAGTTTTACATGTTTAAAGTTTATGTTTACACGGAAACAAACTTTTTATTACATGTTTAAAGTTTTAAATGCAAAACAAACATAGGTTAGTTATCATGAGTCATTTAAGGAAAAAATTGAGTCTGTTTACGGACTCTTCACAAAAGGTTTTTCTTTAAACAAATATTAACCATCACAAATTTTTCTTCAGAAAAACGAAGCTTATAACATCTTAGATCATTTTTTAAATTATAACTTCTTGAAAGACATGATTTTTGTGTGAATGTGTGTGCTTCTTATTTGTTTTCTTTATTTGTAAACTTTTATTTGCTTTATTTATTTGTAAACTTTTTACAAAACAAGGACAATGTTCGCGTATTCACGTGGGAGGTTTTCGTGGTCTTTCTCTCCAAGTAAAGCAAATGCGGGTTTTTCTCCATCAAAAAGTCCTCCAAGAAGGAAAATTTCTCCCAATACTCGATCCAGGAGCTCCCTTGTCTTCTGGATTGGGTTCAAAATTGCAAGGCTACGGAGTTGAACATTAGTTGTCGTAAGCACATAAAATTGGTCGGTTGTTCAACTACGGTTATAAAAAAATATTAAAAAAAGTCAAGCCCCAGGCCGGGATAGCCTGGTTGGTAGGGCACTGGGCCCATGTCCAAGAGTTCGTGAGTTCGATCCCCGCCGACCGAAGACTCCCCGTGTAGTAAAAGGTGACTGATGCACGAAATGCAAATGGCGACAGACGAGTCGCAAAGTCCTCCATGTTCCCATAACAAATCAATACCTCAGGGAGTACTGATCCAGGAGTTTCCTTGTCTTCTGGATTGGTTCAAAATTACAAGGCTACGGAGTTGAACGTTAGTAGTCGTAAACCCATGAAATTGGGTCGGCTGTTCAACGACGNGGCTGTTCAACGACGGATATAAAAAAAGTCTTGAATGAGTGGATTTTTGCTAAAATGAATAGATTTTTACTAAAACGGACCTTTTGCAAAAAAAATCTGGGATAAGTCGCAACAATTTCAGACTTTTTGTTTTCAGTCGAATAAAAGAGTTTTCCTATAGAATCTTGGCAGAAAAACTCGCTTGTCTTTTTGGTTAGATTCAAAATTTAAAAAGTTATGCTATGTTATAACTAAAAAAAAAGGTAATATCATATTGAATATTTGCGAAGTTAGTTGTCAAATTTGAAAACGTACAATAGAAATGCTTTATTGTTATTAATTGAAGCATGATAATTATCTAAGTTAATTAAAAATGTCAAATAACATACGCGTTTATAAAGCTGCTTTTCTAGGAAATTTTTAAGGAGGAATTAAAAAACCTAAATGCCTGTAGTTTGTAAAAATACAATATGCTTATGTGTGAAGCAGGCATCATTGATGTTTTCTCCATTCAATATGGCGTTCAGTTTTTATGTTTGAATTTATGGAGGTACACACCTCAAATACAGTAAAAGGACCACAAATTTTTTCAGATACTCGTTTGTTTTAGTTTTGCCTCTTCCTACATTCGCCTAGAGTAAGTGCATTCGCCTAAACTGAAAAGGAAAGTAATATAAGGAAGCTGTCAGACGGCAGATGGTACTATAAACTGAATCTGTCGCAAGAAAACCTTTTATGCTATCCCAACCCCACATACTCAGAACATTTTGTTGGTTAGTTAATCAAAAATTTCGGATCCACAATTATTCCGAATGCATTACGTCACCTCTTGCACATAATTTTTATTTGTCATATTTTAGGAATGTTTCCGTATCTGTTCATGCCAACTACGATTGCCAAGACGCCAAAAGGTTTTTAAACTTCCAAAATATAGAATTTGAGGGTCTGCTAGGGGGTGGCTATGAATTATACCCTTCGAGTTGGCCCCCTTCTGTGATGGTTCATTTAGTTTCTGACTTGAAGTCGACAAATCTGGACGATTAATTTGAAGCAGGTACCGATATAGAAATCTTCATCGTATTTTTTTTATACCAGATGCGCTTTTCGAAATTATTTCCCTGTTACTTGCACAGTATGTGTTATGCATAAAATGATGCAATGATTAATTATGTAAAATCAATTTTGCAAGTACTCTAAGACTTTCGTTTCAGACAGCATGCAAATTTTTTTTTACCCTTTTTTCACGAACAATGTTTGATATTGAAATGAATTTTAGTTTAACAAGCAACAGCTATAAAGGAAAAAATAGAGTAATGAGCTGTTGATTATATCGTTATCAATTTTATAATTTAGACAAAACAATTCACGTAATACTACAGACACTTAATTTGAAAATAAAAGTAATAATAATGAGCAAAAGAAAAAATTTCATATATTGATTTTTAAGATAAAAATTCATTATTAGCATTTCTTAATTTAAATATTTCATTTATAAAAGAACGTATCTGACTAAATCAAACTCATGAAAAAAGTACTCGTCAGCTCAAGAGAAAATCATCTTCTAATTTAAAAGAATAACCCTAGATATTTTGGATCCATATTTACTATGGTACATCAAACAATTTTATTTGGAGCAAGAATATCTTCCAGAATTTTAAGATTGAGGAGCTGGAGCTAGCTAGAGAACAAAATTTAACCACTTAAGGGATCTGGATCTTAGCGATATTAAGGGAGAAAAATTGCAGACGATATTTTGACGTTCTAAAAAATAAAACTTCAGCGGCAAAAATTTTAAAAGAAAAAAACATAGCTAAAATAAACTCTGCTAGAATCTAGGTATGACGCAATTTTAAAGACAAAAAACTTAGAAAGAATACGTAAAATATTTAAAAGCATATGTCAACACCAAATTAATAATTCATATAAAACAATTATTATTTTACTTCAAATGCTCAGCTTAAAAAGTAAATAAATAAATAGAAAATGACCACTAAAAAATTCTATAATTTAAACTGATTATTAAAATTTAATAATTTATATATTTTCTGAGTATTTTTCTGATGATTTAATAGAAAAAATGTACTCACCACTCCAAGCGAAAATCAGCCAAAACTTCAGAAGAATAATCCTAGTCATTTTGAATTGAGAATCACTATAGTACACCCAACAGTATTTATTCCGAATAAAAATATTCCTTCGAATCAACGAACTCTCTACAGAACTAAATCTATCCACAGAGTTTTTGCGATCACACGAAAAAAAAAATCGCAAACTATATCTTCACGTTCGAAAAATATAGATTTAGCGGCAAAAATTAAAAGTCACGAGTTTTCGAACAAATACGAAAACTATTCTAACGAGAAAGGCGCCTCATGTGCTACTTTCCCAGCACACTTTGTTGTTTGGAATGAAGGCACTTCAGCAGCACAGCTCTATTTTGCTGTGAAAGCACATGGAGGCCTTTCTACTGCGACAGGGTTGCTCGGTTCTCTGAAAGCGAAACTATCGCCAAAATTGGCGACGGTCTCGTTTTGTTGACAGTGTCACGAAACTTGAGTTACAAAACACTTTTTTTGGTGAAAGTGGTATTATTTCTTCCTTCTTTTTTTAATAATTCCTGGAAAAGCGGCTGGATGGTGAAAAAATACCCTTGTTCTTTTTTTTTTATAATCACACATGAGTTTCATTTACTTTTTTGTTAAAAAAAAGGGAGAGAAGGAACGCAATCCTTTTGAGAAAAAATAAACAGTGGTATTTTTTACATAAATAACTGCAAAATTCGGGAAAAAAAGCCACGTTACTGAACTTTGTGTGAATTTCTTTAGATAATTGGATTTTCAGTTAACTGAAAATTAAAAGTTACGTTATACTACATCTTTTAAACTGTAATTAAATTGCAAAAGCAGCTCAATTTTATAAAATTAACATTCGGAATTCCCTTAAAAGAAAATAATTCATTAGTTTTGCAATAAAATATTTATTATTTCAGGAGTATTAAACCTTAAATATAAGAGTATCTTTAACAAAGGTAATTTCTGTTTATCAGTTACGAGATCATGTTTTTAATTATAATTATTTTTAGCATTACTTTTTTAACTGTTTTTATTACTAGTTAAATATCCATTTCTCGCGCAGAGTAAGAATATTATCATTAATAAAAAATCCTGCGCAAAACTAAACATATTTGGTAATTACACTTGATGCAAAAAAGTACCATTATGGGAGTATTTCCAAAAAAGAGGGCTAGAAGATATTTGCTGAATCAAATAAAAATTATGGAAAAAAAATGCATTTTTATTTATGATGTTACGTATAAATATATTAAACTTTTCCTGAGAACCTTTTAATGTCACTTACTGATTATGGGTGCAAAAAAGGGTTCAATAGCTCTTCTTGGAAATCTAATAAATTAAAAATTATGTTTTACCTTTGGTAATCATTTTTAATTTTCATTAATTTATTTTATTTTAAATTACTATAAATAATAGTTAAATGCAATGAAATCTTCGATTCATAAATTGAGTCTAGTGTTGCATTTTGAAATGTAATGCTAAAAATAAGTGATGTTCTTTTGTTAATTAGAAGATATTACAATAAAAAATACTTTAAAAGTGAAGTAAAGTACTTTTTTTTAAATTTAATGCTACAAATAACTGATAAATATTTGCTAATTAGATGCTATAAGAACAAAAAAGAAAATATTTAAAATTTGAAAAGAAATACTTTTTTGAAATTTAATGCTTTAAACAACTAATATATTTTTCTTAATTAGAAGATATAACTAAATTATCTAAAAGTGAAATAATTTCTTGAAATTTAATGCTATAAATAACTAATATATATTTGTTAATTTGATGATATAACAACAAAATTCTTTAAAAGTTAAATGAAGTACTTTTTAGAAATTTAATAGTGTAAATAACTAATATATTTTTTCCATTAAAAGACAAAATACCAAGAAAAATACTTAAAAATTTAATTAAATTTGAATAGAATTCGTTGTCTTTCCCCTTTGTGCCCGTGAGGTGTATAAAGAACGATACAGAAGAATCAGTAATTAAAATAAAGAATGATACATATTAATTTCCATGTTAATCAGGCATTTCGCATAAAAATTCTTAGAAAGCATGCGAAATATCTTCATTTTCATCTGGCGTAAATTGTAAGTAACATTTTGTATATTTTACGGATATTTTTTTCTCAATTTTGATTTTATGACTACTCCCCTCAATAGCATCATTGGGGTCGACAATTATGAAATGCCTTAAACACATTCCATGAGCATTTTTTGAATCTCCCTAGTAATATTTACAACAATATATAAATACATATGTTAAAATTTTATTATACATGATTACTTTTTAGAAACATTTTTTTTCATTTTTTGAAAAACTGTAGTTTCAGCGAAAATAATAATTTTTATTATAATAATAATTCAGAGCAGATAAATGCTGACTTTAAAGCTGTTGAATATCGGCACAGTAACAGCATTTTAATTACTCTGTTCTGCCAAGTTTCTAAGACACTAAGAAGTAGATGTACTGTAGTAGAAGTGAATGTACTAAGAAGTACTGTTTTAGAAGTGGATGTACTAGGAAGTACTGTTGTAGAAGTGGATGCAGTAAGAAGTACTGTTGTAGAAGTGGATGTAGTAAGAAGTACTGTTGTAGAAGTGGATGTAGTAAGAAGTAATGTTGTAGAAGTGGATGTAGTAAGAAGTACTGTTGTAGAAGTGGATGTAGTAAGAAGTACTGTTGNCTAAGGAGTACTGTAGTAGAAGTAGATGTACTAAGGAGTACTGTAGTAGAAGTAGATGTACTAAGGAGTACTGTAGTAGAAGTAGATGTACTAAGGAGTACTGTAGTAGAAGTAGATGTACTAAGAAGTAGTATTGTAGAAGTAGATGTACAAAGTACTGTTATATTAAAATCCATTATGTATTATCCAATATAAATAGCCATTGTAATTAAAGTGCCTTTTTTAAAAACTTCTGCAGATCAAAGCTCACAAGTCAAAACTGCGGATAAAGTTAATATCGATGTTTGTCCCGCATTTATATCAGCAGAAGTTCCGGCTAAGAGAAAGAAAAAAAATACATGCCGAGTTTAATTTCTAGGAAGTTCTCTGAACAGAACGATATCAGAGACTGTTTGATCAAATAGTGAACCAAATACCCAACGTGAAGAAATATTTGCTGAAAACACTGGTCAGCTGTCTTTATCAGACCATCAAAGATGAAGAAGAAAGTTGTAAGTATAGAGAAAGATTAGTTACGACAGCATGAAATGGACAGCGCTTAGAAGACGCTTCCGTGCAAAATAAAATAGATCCAAACAAAAGTTTGAAGTACAAGAGCGAGCTTATTTCTGTGTTTCTCAGTTTTCATACAAGAAAAATAAATGCACATCAGACTAAGTCTGGATTTATGTCGAGGTATATTCACTGTTAATAAGATGTGCTATGGAATGGTTCAAAGCAAGCGTTGCGGAGAGATTTAAAAAGAGAATGTTCTGTCTTGTATTGTAAGGGAACTGACTTTGTTTCGGAAAGATTCTGGGTTCGAATCTCGGGCGAAGTATGGATGTTCTTACATTCCCTGTACTGTCTGTCCTTACTGTGGGAGCATCGTTGGCCCACCAAATATGGTGCCAAGAGAGAGTGGCCAAGAAATCTGCTCTGTAAAATGCCTGAATAGACGAAATGTTAACACAGGTGGGCATTGGAAATTTAAAAAAAATTTGTGTCTTGTTGAGACGAATAGTAAGAATTCGGATAGGATGTAAATATGGAACTAAACTAACTGATTTTAATTTAATATTTTGCTCAAATTCTAAAACGATCTAATTCAAAATTGGGAAGTTATACTCTTTTGTCTCCATGAAGGAAAAGAATTGTAAAGTCAAACTTTTCTTTAAATTCTTTAAGACGCATGTCTTCACAGAAACATACAGCAATTTGAAACAGTTATTATCAAAATTATTTCGAACTGTTTTAACAAATATTTTTTTATCAAAATTTTATTTAAAATTCTGTGACAGTTTTAAATTTTGAATTTATTCTATAGGAAATTATGACCAAAATTTAGTCACATTTCAGGCAATATTATACATCACTTATAAATATTTTAAATCTGCAATCAGAACAGATTTAGGTATTTCTTTACCAATGCACTAAGGGCCATGTAGGTAGCAAAATTTTTAAAATAGCAACAAAATAATTGACGACCTTTAAACTCAAAACTTAATTATTTTTTTAAATTCCTCCAAAAATTCTATTACTTGTCTGAACGAGGCACATTAGAACGGAGAAAAAAAAGATGTACCCATGTGTCTTAATGAAGAATGAATTGGATTTTCTGAGCATTGGCTTCATATGCAAGGAAATCTATATATATATTTCTCTTACACGGCGATAAAAAAAGCCTCATTACAACTCCCCGAATGGCAACGCTTGAAAATTGACCTATCATTGCGGCTAAGAATGTCACATGGTGAGGTGGCTCAACATATAGCGCTTTTAAAAACGGAAACGGAAATAGCCAGAGTGTAAAATATTATGTGCTTATGCGCATCGTATTTTGTGTTAAATAATTTATTTATTATATATCAGTTTATAGATGGTAACGAGAAGAGTTTTGTGGTTGCTATGGTGACTATTTAGAATGTAAATTGTTTTTTTGAGTGAGTGTGAGATTTGTTTTTTGGAACTGCGATGCTGTAATTTTATTGTTTAGTTAATAAATCTTNAATTGACCCCGTAAGTGGGGACAATTGTAACAACTGCACGACTGTCAAAAATTGTTAATAACTAATATAATAATATTTAAAATCAGGTATTTATTTTTTTTCTAGTAGAGGATAGTCTACTTTACTCGTCTGTCAATTAATACTAATAATATATTGGATTTTTTGTTAGTTAAAAATAGTTAAGTAAAAAATGTTACAATTGACCGCACTCTCCCCTACCCATGTGTCTTAATGAAGAATGAATTGGATTTTCTGAGCATTGGCTTCATATGCAAGGAAATTTCAAATAATTAATGTTGCCAACAAGCATAAAAAATGCCATATAATAACTACTAAATAAATGTTAATAAAAATTATATTTTTCTTCTCCTTACGAGCGATTAGAGTAAACTCAATTTAAAAATACATTTTATATTGCAGCACTACTGTTGAAGAAACAAATTTTAAAAAATATTGTATATACATACTTGTACAAAATAATTAAACTGTGCAGAAGAGATTTGTATATCAATATAGCATATTCTCATTCACACATATGCATAAACGTCTTATGACGAAGAAATATAAATATAATGAATATTCATGAACTTGGAAATTATTAGAAATGTTACATATTGTTACGTTGGCATATTTTTTATTGACTTAGCTAAATGAATTTGATTTTGGAATTTATAAAGTAAAATATAACTCATTATTAATTAAATTATT